GCATTCTGTGGTTGTCAATATAAGACGACTCATTAAAACGATCACTCGAAAAAATGGTCGTTTCCAAGCAGTTTTCAAGACAACTGTTAGTTAATTTAGGTAAAATAGGTCTCTCTTTTAAAAAAAACTAACCCACTTGCACACCTAGAATGGAATATTTTTTAACAAATTTTTCATAAATTAACTATGTCAGCGGAGGCATAAATAAAACCACCCTTATCTTTTACTTTTTCTTTTTTTTAAATAAGACTGTCGTATTTATCATTTTCATATAATGCAAGTAAGTAATCCTTTTTGTCAATTTTCTTTCTAAAATTCCACGAAATCACGTCGTTATCGGCATTTTTGAAGAATTTTTTTCACCTAAAGTATTTCTCACTAACTTTAGCATATCAGCAGGGTCTGAAGAAATAACAATTTTTTGATCGTACACTTGAAATTCAGGATATATCCTAAGAAGATCTAAATTAAATCCTAAATTTTTAGCCGTCGAAAAATAAGCGAGTCACCCATCGAAAGTTGACAACAAAATATTTACCTCACAAGACGCAACTAGTGTTATACAGTTTTTTTTACGAAGGTAGCTTTTTAATCCCTGTACCATTAATTGCCGTTAGCATGAAACCAATGCCTTCTTAGCGATAGCTGCTTAATGTCCATCAAGATACGCTCTATAATTAATGAAGCCGACACATTTATCTCCGTCCCATTGAATATGTTTCTAGATAGCCATTTCATCTATGGTTAAAGCAAAACATAAATTTTAATTTTTGGTCAGCTCTGCTAAAATCTTAAGATATGCCAAAGATTCTGTCGTGAGTCCAGGATCGCCATTAACACATTTATACCAAGAACATAGTGTTATGTGTGTGTGAACAACATGTTTACATATTTCAAAGTGTTGTCTCACATTTTTACATGCTCAAGGACTATATATATAGAATGGGGTCCCACATATATGCAATAAATGAAACCACAAGTAATACTAGTCCGTAGAAGTGTAGAAAAATTAAATATTAAATTAAAACCCGTAAAATAAGAAAGTGAAATTTTCAAACAAAATAAATATTAAAATAAATTCAGTAAAAGTGAACACTCTGTTTATACAACGTACCTTGACCCCTTGGAAGAGTGACATATATACATAAAAGTCAAGTAGTGTCAATATCACAGTGAAAAAATAATAAAAATAAACGTACTTAAAAACACTATTTACACACACAAAGCCAATTAACTAATAAGTGTCTATTTCACCGTAAAAGAATTGTTCGAGTAATTGTATTTATCTTAAGATAATACGATAATTATCTTACGATAAATAATTGCGATGCGTGTAAGCAGCGAAACACACCTGTATTCTGGGAGAATTGCGCGTGAACTGGAAGCCGAATTTCCAAATTCCAAAATGGCGAAAATAATAAAAGTAATAAATAGGGCGGCCACAAGGTGCAATTATCGTTTATCGATACTTTTCTTTTTGAACTTACTTACCTACTACATTTGAATACAAGTAATTTTGATTTTTGATTTGATAACAATCGACAAGTTATTGATTGTTAAAAAAAAGTTTATTTTTATACAATTGAACTTACGAAACTACCGATTTGTAACTTCCTGGGAAACGGGTAAGTATGTATGACTTTTTAATTGGTTGTTTTTATGGGTTTTTTAGCATGTTAAAATAATTTATTATCTCTAAATCTACAAGAACACACTTAAACAATAAAGCTTTAAAGTTTAGCTTTAAATACTTAGGTCGTAGTGTTTTTAGAATTATCATAACAACACGATTATTCTAAAAAAACCATACCCTAAGTGTTTAAAGCTAAACATTTTTTTTTGTTTATGGATTATTACTCCCTTTGAAAGAAGCTAATCGTCGATAACTGGTGTCCAACTCTACTTTTTGACCTAATTACTGGACCGATTACGTTAATTTTTTGTATATCGTCAGCAAAGGCGATAACAAGTATATGGTTTCATTTATTGCATACATGTGGGACCCATTCTGAAAATATATATATATATATATATATTACATCGATGCTATCCTCTTCGTTAACAAGAGCTTTGGCCTACGACTCTTTAAGAATTTGTTCCAGATTTGCTACTTTATAAGCCTTGTTTTCTGACGAAGAGCGCGCACCATTCTCAACCTCTTCTGTGACAGAATTTGCTGCTGTTTCATTCTCTTGGTAAGACTTCTTGGCGTAATCAGTGGCTGAAAAAGAAAATTAAATTTTTTTAATCCATTTAACCTATTAGCGGTTGTTATTGATCGCAAACAATAGATTTTCAATTGGGTTCATAATGTTACATATCACCTCTACCATATTCAGCAAAGCAAAATACAGAATGTTAACAAGGAAACCAATGACTCTCAAAAACAACGACAAATAATGCGGTGCGCTAAAGTCAGCTAATTAGTTAGTAAGTAGTTCAGATTCTTTTACATATACATATTTATGGGTAAAGATACCAGAGGCTACTGTTCAGTCCCTGATTGATTTTTGATGAGATTGATTGATGACCTTAGGCCACTTGTATGACAACTGGTTACCGACTAGTTTTCGTAACCGGCACAATATAACCTTTTAAAACTCAAGACCTACCGTAAAAATGTGCTTGGTAGTTCCATAACTACATCATTTGCATGATGCTCATTTTTGGTCATTTTAAATTCTTCATGGAAAAGTATCACTTAATCTCAATATTATTTAGCATTCAATAAAAAACAGTATGTCATTACATGATAACTATAACTTCTATACCGATTCTTGTCACTCATAGTAGTGTTTAGTTAGAAAGGCACTGAAAATTAAAGATGCACCGTATTTGGTTATTCCATCACTAAATCATCACTTTCAGGTCCTGCAATGTTTGTAACATCCTCCTAAAAAATTTAAATTTTTCAATTTCTTCTACACATTCAGTGTAAAAGAAATGATGTCTTTTAATTTTACTTTTATCCTATCATAATCCGTCATATTATAACTAACACGCTTTAATTAAATTCTCGCCAAAACCAAGTCTATCTACTATATAAAAACAGTTAGAAGATTTAAAATACGACCGTATTTAAACAAACAAACCTTAATTGTATAGTGTTATGACAGCATTGCGAAACAATTTAAGGTTCAACTTATTCTATAATTTGCTGAAATATCTGCCAGTAGGCACCCATAAACGAAAATACATTAAAATGGCAAAGTTATTACAAATTAGTGCATACATTACTACTACCAATGAATAAATAATATACAAAATTTTACGTAAATTATATTTAATAATACTATTAAAAAAACAAACTAAAGGGGTAGAATAGTTCCATAATCTTAGGTACTGCGTGAACAGAAAAGGAGTAGGGGTAAAAACCAGAATTATAGACGGGAAAGTTAGGAAGATTTTTATCAAGGGATCTGCATGGTTTATCCGGAGGATGGGTAAAGGCAAATCGGCTTCTGAGGTATGTGGGAGTGGAAGGATTGTGCAAGATTTTATAGAGGAGACATAAAAATCGTGTGTTCCTTCAAAGTCGAATTGGGAGCCACTTAAGTTGCTTGCGAAACTGAGATACAATTTTTGGTCAAATTTCTTGAGCCCAAATATGAAACGGATACACTGATTTTGTAAGCGCTCAAGTTTATTAAGGAGCTCCTCTGTAGCATCCAAATAAGGGGCATCTGCATAATCAAGGAGACGTAGGATAAGAGTAAGCACGAGTGATATTTTGGCTTTAGGGGTAAGACGTTTTGTTGACATTTAAGCGAATGCATGGTAAAGTGGACCTTAAGACTAACCTCAGCGACATGCGTGGACCATAGTAAATGGTGATCAAATATGCAGTGGCGAAGCTAGAGCTCCAAGCTAGGGCAAGCCCAAGATATAAATTGATAAAAATATAGATTGTTGTTTTTAGCAGTTTTATAAAAATATACCAATCTTGGTCTGTCTCCACGCTTCAGTTTCATATACAGTGCTGTCAAGGACTTGTTTAACAAAGCACACAATTTTCTGGTTGAAGCTGCCTTACAAATAAAGAAAAGATGGGATTTCGACAGTGCACCACTGATAAAAATATCCTTGTTGGGTGCGAAGAATGCGATGAGTGAAGAAATAAGAAAAGATAACCCTTCAATCCTACCCATTGCGTTAGCATTTCCTAGGGTCGTCGACGTAGATGATATAAACGTTTTGCAAATCCTGGATGATCAATGGCGCAAGCTACCCTATGCAAAAATACCAGAGGAAATAAAAACTGAAAAGAAAGTAGATGTATTTTGAGCTAAAGTTAGTAAATGGAGTGATCTGACAGAAAACAAACCTTTCAGCGATATTTCCCAATTCGCGTTGGATTGTCTCGTGCTTCCACACGCAAACGCAGATTGTGAACGAATATTTAGTAAGATCAATCTTACCAAGTCAAGGACTCGGAACAGACTAGTAACAGGAACTGTAGATGCAATCTTACTGTCATGCGATGCAATAAAACGCAACAAAAGTGGCAATTGCACCGATTTTGAACCGACAGAAGAAATGTTACGAAAATATAATAATAAAAGTAATGACGGAATGCAGTGTATTGACCAAGTTGCAGAAATTGATATAAATATTCCATAATAGATATAAGTTAATTGATAATTTAAAGTTGTATAATTGATTATTAAATTGTATACTTTCTTATTTTCTTTATTTATTATTCTTTTCAAGTGTTATAAATAAAAATATTATCGTTTTATATTTTATTTCTCAGATGTACGATCTTTTTTAATAAATACTATCTTTTTGAACGAAACGTACTATATTTTTTTACCTGTCCGATTCCAACACTGACCACCAGTCACCTGTCACTTCCAGTTTATAAAAAGTACTCTGTGCCAGTCATCACAGAGTTTGTATACATGGCATGGACCTTGTCATTCACAAACTAATAATAAATGAAAGTATTTTATGGTAATAATAGTATCAAATAATAAGTCATCTTTTTCAACCTTTTTAAAATGGATTTGGAAAAAAATATTTGCCTATTTTATGACCGATGTAGACTGTGCCTTGAACAATCAGGACTGTACAATATGTATGAAGGAACTCACTTACCGAGAGATATTTTTATTTGTACTGGTATAAAGGTATTTTATTTTTTAATGAAATATATTTTATTAAAAAATTATTGTATTGCATATTTTAATGCGAATGATACAGGTATCCATTACAGATAATCTGCCAGAGAAAATTTGCAACAAATGCTACGATATTATAAAAAAGGCGATTGATTTTCGAGATCTATCAATCAAAAATGATACACATCTTAAATCTTTATTTGCTGACTTTCAAACCGACGAGGTAAACTATTGTAATAATGTATAATGAACATACACTAATAGTGTGTGCTTAAAGTTAATAAATATACTTTTAGATTGGTGAAGATTTAACTGACATAAAAGTTGCAACTTCACAAACCGAAAACAAATATTCCGTTAAAAGCATCCAGAGTGAAAATCCAAAAAATGCAAATGAGGATGTGAAATCACATGGATCAGAAATTGAAACTGTATGTAACAAATTCTTTATTTAATTATAAACCTTAATGTATAGATTTCTTAACTGATGATTTTTGTATAATTTCAGGGTTCAACAAGATCATTAAGTAAAATATCAATAAGAAAAGATTTATTTTCACATCCAGGAAAGGTAAAATATTATAATTTTTAATGTACACTCATGTTAAAAGTAATATAAATGTTGCCACCTATTATACCTATACATCCACCTGCTGGACGCAAGCTACCTCTCATTTATGAGAGATTATGGAAGAGAGAGGTTTATGGGGAGTTTTTGACCAATGTGCTTGTTACTCCAGGGTATTTTAGCGTATTCTAAATTTTCTCAAATATTTTATTCTCCAAATCAGACACGCACATGTTTTTCTTCACTTTTGAGCACATTATTTAAAATGTTAAATTAGCAATTTTGGTACTGGTAGAGATCAACTTTAGGTTCCCTATCTTGCTGTGAAATTTATGGAAAATCCTTGTCCCAAAATGTGAGGAATTTATTAAAAAATTATACAACTTGGGAATGAACTGAGGATAGACAAAGACATGATCTGATGCACTACACAACATGTGTCAATTAGAGCTACAGCTATTATGGTAATTGATTTATTTTGTTTTTCTACTCCAGGGCTTGGTAACACTACCATGTTTAAATCATCATAACTACCAAACTATTTTACTTAGGGCTAAGATTAGGAAATGCAAACTCGCTAGATTTTAGACCTAGCTGAGATCTCGCGAGACCGTAAAGCTAGTCTTGCGAGATTACGAGATTTCCGAGATCTTGCCCAATTGGGTATATTTACTAAAAACATTCGCTAATACTATTAATTCCGTTTATTGATTTTCAATATATAAGATAAAAATAAAACATACTTGTAATTGGCATATTATAATCATTTATTTTAAAATAAAACACAATATTACGTTATAATATATCTTATTCATACATCATATATAATAGTCTTATTCTTATTATGTAAACTGAAAATCAGCCTTCTGCATCTGCAGTATTAAGTACAAAAAACTTAAAATAAAACAAAAAGAACACTTTGAAATATAACAAAGATCAGCCTTCTGCAGTGTTAAGAACAAAAACACAAAATAAAATAAAAACACTTCAAAATATAACAAAAATCAGCCTTCTGCAGTATTAAGAACAAAAAACTTAAAATAAAAATAAAAAAAACTTCAAAATATAACACTAAATCAGCCTTCTGCAGTGTTATGAACAAAAACTTTAAAATTAAAATAAAAAAACTGCGAAATATAACACTAAATTAGCCTTCTGCAGTATTAAGAACAAAAAACTTAAAATAAAACAAATAAACACTTCGAAATAATTCGAAATGTAACACTTATTCAGCCTTCTGCAGCATTTGTAATTTTTAAGGATATGTAAGTATTATTAGACAGTGTTACTAAAAGGATAAGTTATTTTTGAAAGTGGATTCTCAAAAAAAAATAGCATATCAAGGGTTACATCTGATAGAATTCGAATCTCCCGATTTTACAGGCCAAGTACCCCGCGGCCGAAAATGCTCTTTCTGCCTCTACACTAGTCGGAACCACAGTCGACAAATAGTGGTGTACAAAGTGAAGGAGTGCACCTTTAACCCCTCCAGCTTCATACAAATACATCTCTTTTTTAATGAGTATCTCGATTCCCAATGAATTTGCAGAATTTGTTGAACGATTGGGCTTTTTCAATGCTGTCAACGATTCTTGTAGCTCCTCTTGAAGGGAAATACTTTTTCACTCCAAAAATCATCATTAGTGTCTTCGCTTTCGCCAAGTACAACATCATTACAAGCAGCTGCTGATGTTGAAGGAAGTGGCTCTGTAACAGATGAGCTTTCTCAGTCTTGCAGTGCAATCTCTCTATAAGTTTTTTAAGTTCTTTTCGAATACTGACTTTCTGTGACAATTTGAATGTTTCGTGTCGCGCATACTCTTCCAAATCTTCCTCATATTTGACATAATCTCTCAAATATATCAATACTGAAGTCAATCCCGCAATCTCGCGATATAAATTGAACGAGACTCAGTCTCGCAAAATATGGACTTGGCGAGAACGAGATTGCATTCCCTAGCTAAGATGTAAGACTTATTTTTAAGCACACATTCTGTACTAACATTCATAAATAAAAAACATATAGCTTGATAGTTTAGATTTTATGAAAAAGCTAGTAATTTAAAATAATGTTAAAAAAAATTTAATTTAAAATTTCTCCTTTGTTGTCATTGATTGAAATTGTTATCATTGATTTATTGTCTACATTTTTAGCTATCAAACTAGTCCACTTTCGTCTTCCTAGGACCCCTACATGGGTAGCCATGGCTTAATCATTATAAGCACAAGTATAATTTTAATCCTCAGAAGACACAAGATTGAAGTTACAAGACTGAAAACTAAGATGAAATGTCTCACAAACTACACACATTTGTTTTTCTACCCCTTTTTTTTTTTTAACATGAGGAAATGCCTACTCATACCCGCCTCGCGGGGAGCAAGGACGGGTTATGTCGGACTCGCACCGACTAAAACCCCATGGTGTTCCACCTTCGTCGCATATTGGCAGGGCTACGGGAACGCTTTCGCACACTTCCGCGGCCCTACCAGCGACTGCCGCCCCATGGCAGCACCTCCATGGGAGAGGAATATTCCTCCCCGTTCTCCTTCCCAAGTAAGGCGCACCAGAACACATGGCACGCCTTCCTCCACGGCCTCCAATTGCATCTGCGCAACGGATGCCTCCGTGTCCGATGCACGAAGGTCATGGGGCTAGGAAAAACGAGCACTTAAAAGTACTAGCCTTCCCGACCCCAGCGGCGGATCTGGTCTATGGCTCCGCCGCCAACCAAGATTCGGCTGCGGAGGATAGGGAGAGCGGCGCCTCGCAATACCGACAATCCTCTCCCCCCGCAGCCCCATCACCACCGCATCTACGGTGCGGCCCCGTTTGAGTCGCGGAGGATAGGGCGAGTGGCGCATCGCCATACCAACACTCCTCTTCCTCCGCGACTCCACCTCGGCTGCAGCGGTAGAGGGTGCGGAGTCCACCAGCACACTTCCGAAGTGGGCTCCCCAAGCCCACTCGGAGTGGCCACCTCAGGCCGGCCCTTCACCTCGGGCCAGCCACGTGGGTTCCTCTTTGTTCACCGTGGGAGACCAAGCCACGGCTACTAATTAGTAGCCGTGGCTTGGTCAAGGTAAGGTTAGTTAGTTTATGGTGAGCTTTTTTCCGAAATTCCACATACATAAAACATAAACATAAACACTCACGCCTGTCACCCAGAGGGGTAGGCAGAGACTACAGACTTCGTCGGTTAAGGGTACTCCAAATTTGGCCCGTTTTTAATAAATCGCCAATTTGGTCGATAAATTTTCGCCTAGGACGTCCATTCTTTCCACATGACCAAACCACCGAAGCATTCTTTTCTTAATCCTGGTCACAACATCATCTTGCAAACCACACTCTTCTAAATTCCACATGTAAACGCATATTTTGCATGTGGGCAGGAATAATGTGATTATTGGAGTCATGAAATCTCCCCAAAGAAGTTCAACATTCCTTTGATGTTGCAAGCAACTTCAGGGAGTGATTCCGGCGTGCCGAGATGTTTATTCCTGTGTGAAGTGACCTCCGAACATGTCAGCAACACATGGGCCGTCGTTTCTTCCTCCCCCATACATGCCCTGCACGGGGAACCATCTGTAAGACCTATTGTAAATAAATGTTTGTTAAAGGAGCCATGTCTTGTGATAGCACTTGACTACTATCATGATCTGTGGCTTGTTCAGTCTCATTAGAACCTTGGTTAGACAACTGTTTATTTCAGACAGGACCTCCCTAACTTGTCTGCAGCATACTAGATTTTTACAAAGCTGAGCGAGAAGATTAGTGAAGTTTCTATGTACTAGTGAACAATGTTACCAAAGGGGATTGGTATTATTGGTTCCGGTCCTATAGTGGCCAAAGCCGATCTTCTTCTGGCCAGTTCGTCTGCTGCATCGTTGCCTCTGGATCCACTGTGTCCCTTTATCCATTGCAGTCACATTGTTGTGCTTACATACCTCATTTACTTGTTGATGGCATTAATATATTAGTCCCGAGTTCACCAAAGCAACTCAGAGCTTGTAGTACTGCCATACTGTCGTTCAGTATTCTGATGAAGAAGCCTTTTACCTTCCTAACATCTATTGCTATGGCCAATTGAATGATAAACAATACATTTCGCCTGAAAGACTGTGTAATGGGTACCCAGTGGCATACTTATGTGGATATTGAGGTCTTCACGGAGAGTTCCAAATCCTACACCTTCATTCAGAACCATTAGAACCATTTGTGAAAACTGGGCTTAATCCCTCTGGCCAGTTTCATTTAATTTTATCTTATACTTCTTATCGAATACAAATTGTTTTCGGATCTCATCATACATGGCTTGTAAGATAGAAATTTTGGAGTAAATTCTATCAATTATACCTGTATGAGGGACTAAACTCTTACTCCAAAGATTTAGGGTCATGGCAGCTAAAGTAGCTTCTTGTTGTATGTGTAGATGAAGTGGGGTTAGCTCCAACATAGCCTCTAAACTGCTGCTGGTTGTAGTTCTTATGCAGCCTGTGGCAGCCTTACATGCCAGTCTCTGGTAACGCTGAAGATTCTTTATAGTAGTGGCTTCATTTGTTTTGGTCCACTATACCAAAGCGCCGTATGTGATTGTACAGACACAGTATAATTTTTGGCATCAGACCCCATCGTTTTTCCCAATCATGTTCGACACAATCATGTTTCTGCATTGCCAAAAAGTTACACTAGCTTTGTTGATTTTGTTTTCTATGTGTTTATTTCAGTTAAATTTACTGTAAAAGTTAAGTCCTAAGTATTTTTACCTCAGAGGATAGCTTGAGTTTTGTGCTGAAAAGACTTGGGAGATGATAGTTATTCAGCATTCGTTTTTGTGTGTGAACATTACTAGGACCATTTTATTTGGATTAAAGGTTAAATCATATGAGGGTGACACTGAATGTTTTTAGAACTGGCCACTTAACCTTCGGCCTGTAAACAATATAATAAAAAAATAAGTTCACATTTTGAAAGTGGAATTCTTTGCCAATATTATTATGTATATATTTTATTAATTTGTCATCTGCTTACGACTTGACGGCAAATTGAAAATTGTCTATGTCACATCACCATGAATTTAACGCGAGAAAATTTTCGGACGATAATTTTTTTATGACTCGATGTCATTTAAGACAACAAGAAAGTTATGATAGACTTCGATTCGCCTTCACGATGAAGCCCCATCTCGTGCCACTGTTTACAACAGGTTTAATGATTTTAAACGTGGTCGCACTAATTTGACCGACGATCTTCGTGAGGGATGGCCTTCTACGGCGACGACTGAAGATAACATTGGTGTTGTGGGGCGTATGATAGAGACTGACAAAAGAGTGACTTATCAGCAGATTCGGACAAGCTTAATCATCGGTATAAGTCAATTGCACAAAATCCTCCATGAACATTTAGCGGTCAGAAATCTTTGTGCCCTGTAGATACCTCATAATTTGACAGAGGCCCAAAAACTCGACATACTTGCGGGTGACGAAAACTGGATTTATTGTTATGATCCTGAAACTAAGAGACAGTCTGCAGTCTGGGTGTTTCCTTCCGAGGAGTTGCCAACTAAAGTGAAGAGAAGTCGAAGCGTGGGAAAAAAGATGGTGGCCTCGTTTTTCGGAAGGACAGGTCATTACGCAACAATTTTTTTAGAGGATCGAAAAACAGTTACTGCAGAGTGGCACACTAACATTTGTTTGCCACTTGTCTTGGAAAAAGTTCGGGAGAAATGACCTCGCAGTAGGGTCCCCCTTCACCACGACAACGCCTCGTCGCACACCGCCAAGCAAACAATCGACTACATGGCTACGTCAGACGTTGAATTACTGGGTTTTATTTATATACCAAAATAAAAGAAAAACTTCGAGAAAAATGTATGTCACCCTTGTATTCCCTGCATCATCTCTCCACTATACGGAGAGCCGCTTGGGTCAGGTCGCACACCATGCATGCTGTCTTTCCAAAGAACAGTATTGTCAGGTCATCTGCATAACCTTCTGTGTAGAAATGATTGGCATTTAATTTGCTGATGTGTTCGTTAATGACCATATTCCACAGGAGAGGTGAAAGGCGTAGCTATCCAGTCAATCAGTACCGGTTCAACTTTATGTCTACTTAGTGCACGTTTTATGCTGAAGAAGTTCGTTCTGTCAAAAGCAACTTCTATGTTTATGAAGGAACCTAGACATATTACTTTGTTTTCGATGGCCTTTTCAATCTTTGTTATTACGTGGTGAAGTGCCGATTCTGTCGATTTACCTAAGCTGTAGGCGTGTTTTGGTCGTGTAGCGATAAGTTAATTTACCACCTAATAATATTTTTTTTATTTTAATTCCCTTTCAACATCCTATCTATCGTCTTTAGGAGAAAGAATGTGAGGCTAGGGAGTCTGTAGGATTTATGGTCTGTATAGTCTCTCTTACATGGTCTATGAACGTGACTTTCACTTCCCTCCATCCCCTAGGAACATATTTAAAAGCCAGACATGCTCTCATTATGGCAACAAATCTGACTATTAGGGCTTTACCCCCCACTGTAGGAGTGCTGGGAATATGCCGTCAGGTCCTGCTGCCTTATAGGGGAGGAAATAGAAAACTATAAATGGCCCAATGGATTTTATCCATCGTTACCACTCTCTGTGCTAAATTCCAGTCTTCTGTTGATGTCAGTATATCTTCATGCCGGTTTACCCTCTCAACTACGCAGAAACCTGGGAAGTAGGTTTCAGTTAGAATGCATTGCATTTCATCCGGCGATGTTGACTAACTTCCGTCGGTTTTCTTTAGAGAGATGGAACCCGGCGTGTTAGCTAGGATTTTCCTTATCCGATTCGCTTGTACACAGGTTTCTATGTTACCACAGAATTTACACCACCCTATCGAGCGTCAATACCTGATACATTTTATGTATTCAGACTTAGTTTTCTTGTATAGTAGCCAGTCTTTATCCATTTAGGGCTATTCTTACATTCTTACGGTTCCTGTCTAGTTCTTTACCCCACCAAGGGTGGTTTGCCTCAGCATGCCTTGCTGGAGTGATTTCTGGACATGATTAATGGTAGTTATCCATCATGGCTGTAGTAACAGCTGCTACCTGTTCTTCTAGGAGTGACTAACCTGCTATATCATTTATCCCCTCAAAACACGAGAGCGAAGACCTCATCCTGTTAAAGTATTTTGTTTTACCCGTCTTGCGGGAATTTCTCCGTGGCAGTATAGCGAGAATATCGACCTGTAATACGCAGCAGATCCATCTATGGTCTGAACATGGCTTCTTTCGACACATGCCATCCCGTTATTAGTTATTAGCTGCTTTTTCTGTTGCAGGTATGAGGTCGATTATTGTGCGACAAAGTCTATTTATGAAAGTTAGTTCAGAACCTGTGTTAAAAATGGTTAGGTTGGGGCTAAATAGATATTCAACTAACGCCTGACCTTATTCGTTTGGTTCATCCATTCCCTAAAGGGGATGATGCGCGTTAGAGTCCGTCCCGATCACAACCTCTAGTCTGGTCCTCTCGCAGAAATTCACCAACATGACGAGGTCATGAGACATACATACATGTCTGTGGAACAAAAATCTGTTAATGGTTTTGCACAGATATCGTTAGTAGTATAAATACACGCTCCATGATTGTTGTGCTCAGAGTTGTAGAATAACTTACCTTTTAGATTGTTTAGACCTTTGATTTTACCAGCCCCAACTCACGGCTCCTGGATTAGGGCTATGGCCGTCCTTTGAGCCTCTAACCACTTGCGTAATTGAGCCGACGCTGTTTGGTTGTGGTGGAGGTTAGCCTGCACTAGGCTAGATCTGGACGAAGGGCACACCTTCATTGATCGCATCCTACCCGTCCCCACCTAAAATTAATCTTTCGAAGAGATCTCTGGTCTCATCGTCAGTCATCGAGTCGAAATTGGATGGCAAAATGCAGTCCTCTTCGTCACTCAGTGAGCTGCCGCTGAGCCCAGTCTCTGCTGGGAGCTTCGGTTCATTTTTGCAGGCCGTTTTTTCACTAGGCTTGACATCCAGTGATTCTGCCGTACCGGTACCCATGACCCCGGTATCCATGATTTCCGGGTTCTTATATGCCTCTTTGCTTGGTGGACTATCAAAGAATTTACGTCCACGACCCTGAAATTTTACGTACACCGCCCCACATACTTTTTTACTTCCAACACAGGCTTTCATCAGGGTCGGAATATAATCCTACGGTACCGAAACAGCGAGAAACCACCTGTCCGTCTGCTTAGTCTTTGTGTAGCAGCCAGTCGCTGATTTTTACCCAGCGGTTCTGGTACGCCAGCAGACGACCGATGTCGCGTGAGTCTTTCCAGGCACCTTGGGCATCAGGGATAAGGATACCACACTTGACTCTCTGTCATTTCTGACTGTTTCTATATGATGAGCGAGGTGTTGTGTTTGAGGTCGAGTGTAGCAATGTTTTATTTATTTATTTATACACTTTATTGTACTAAAGGCACAAACGGCGGACTTAATGCCATACGGCATTTTCTACCAGCCAACCGGAAAGTTATTGGGAGAAGCGTGAACTACAGTGGGCTAGGGTGAAAAACTTAAATTTACACTATATACTCCAGTGACGACCGGCTCAACCCTCCAGGACTCCTTCATCCCCGCATACGGCGCTCGACTGCGCACATCCTAGCGCAGGTGGGTGTGTTAGTCCACCGAATTCACCTACTCTCTCCCGCGGAACCACCCCTCTTTTATCCGGGCATGGGACCGGTTGCACCAAAAAGTACAGGCAGAGTTTTATCTACCTATTACCAAAATACAACAGTAGATGTACTGTTGCTTGACAGCAGAAAGAGTTAAAACTTTGGTGCTTAGAAGGAATATCACCTTGTAGTGCTTTCTAACCACATTTGAATTTTACTTTATTTAAGGTTTCGCACTCCATCACATATAGTGTGCAAGATAGCAATGGAATAAAAAGGATGAAAGGTGAGAAAACAGAAGTTCTGGAGTATAAATGTGGGGTAAGTTTCATTATTTCTTTGTTTGTTGTTGTCATTTCTGTCAAAAATCTTTTATAAAATTAATGATACACTTTTTGATAATTATATAGAAATTGTATATGAAATGAAATGTAATTTAATTTAGAATACAATTTTATTTACATTAATCAAAATGCCCTACCCTATTTTGAATACATGCTCTTAATCGACACGGCCAATCATCAATCGCAGCACGCACCACACTCATATCTATTATAAATTTCTTATTATTATTACATATATTATTATCTTTGTTTTATACTATTAATTATTGAACAGTGTACTATTTTAACTTAAGTCTAATACCGATGAAAACTACTAGGCATCGGTTTTTGTTTACTTTTAGGTTATTGTGATATTCATATTATAATTGTTAATTTCTCAGTATTCCCGTTAGATGAGTTAAAACTAACATTATTTACGTAATCTATACTATAAGGAATAAATCGACATGCATTTCGTTAAGTTCCGCCACAATTCGTGTTGGGCCCATTCTACATACAAAAATAAATTGTCTCCTTTCATAAATGGTAGAGCCATGCTATAACATTTTATGACTGCAGCATAAATGCGACAGCTTATCTGGAGAAGTACCACACTTTCACGGAATACCAGCGTAAAATAACAACATAATGCTACATACTTGTTTCTTATGGCATGTGATGAGAACCAGGGACACTTGAATGATAACAACAATAATGCTGATAGTGATTTATTTGCATCAGATGTGGAAATAAATAGAGGAAAGAATAATAACTAAAATACAAATTAGGTTCTGAGATATATCTTGCAGATACACATATAAGTAGGTAAGAAAGAAAATGAACACACAATATGCAGTTTTACGAGGACTGACATGACTGAAATGACAATTAATACACTGCATTACCACATTAATTGTATATAAGAGTTATACAGTACGTTACATATCATAGAATGAGGTAATAATAAAAAAATACTGTTAAGGAGTCAATTACATCTTGTTCTTAGTAGTAACTTACAAGTATTTTAATCTAATTGAGAAATCATAAAATACTATAATACACAATAGAATGGCTATCAGCCTTATTTTGTACGAGGATCGGCGTCGCCGGGAGCACACATACAAGCAATTACGTCGTATTATCACTACTAGAGACAGTTGACAGACTGAGCGATTTACACATTTTCGACTTTTGTTTAATGTTCAAGTACAACATTAAAAAAATAAATCGTTTAAACTTTTAATACATATTTATTTGTAAATAGTGTGCAAGCTAATCGTAAATACAATCGCAGTAAGTGTAATTTTTTTCTTGTTGTAAATAAACATTTGTTGAAAACGTTTGAAATGCGTATCATCATACTAGTCTGAGCGTTTAAGCAAACTGTAGCATATAATGGCATCACCGATAGGGATGTAGCTTTGTCTAGTGACTTACCGGTAACTAGTAAACACCGGTAAAGCTTGACTGTATTTATTTTGAAATATTTCAATAATATTTTTCGTTATTAATTTTGTACAATTTTATACTAAAAGATAAATACAGGGTGGGCCATAAAGAATTGCGAATTTGAAAAAATCATTAAAAAAAAACTAAATACAATTCACATACAAATTTTTATTTCTACAAAAATTTACATCTGGGAAATTCATTCATCAAAAATAACATCATCCAGATGTGCACCATCGCGCTGCAAACATTCTTCGAATCTGAACCTCAAATTGGTAAAAACTCGCTGGCACATTGCACGGGGAATATCTGCCATTTCTTTCCGGATATTGGTCTTCAACTGGTCAATTGTGGCTGGGTTATTAGAGTAGACTCTACTTTTTAGGTATCCCCACAAAAAAAGTCCAGTGGTGTAAGATCCGGACTTCTAGGAGGCCATTCAATGTCACCTCGGCGCGATATCAGTTTCTCACCAAACATCTCGTTTACGACCGAGGCATTAGCTGTGTGGCATGTCGCGCCATCTTGTTGAAACCATGTCGCACGATTATAGGCTTCAAATTGTTGCAGTTGTGGAAAGAAAAAATCCCTTAACATGGCTATGTATCGGTCAGAATTTACAGTGACAGATTGGCCTTGTCGATTTTCGAAGAAGTGGGGTCCGATAATTCCGTGCGCTGACATGGCTGCCCAAACGGTTACTTTCGGCGAATGTAGAGGCTTTTGATGTTTTGCACGTGGGTTCTCTGCAGCCCAGTAACGGCAATTCTGTTTATTCACCTGCCCATTTATGTGAAAATGGGCTTCGTCGGAGAACAGAATATTGTTGAAACTCCGAAAGCGTTCCAGCATCGTTTCAACAAAAGCTCTCCTTAAAATTGGATCATTTGGCTGTAATTCCTGCACAAGTTGAATTTTATACGGATGCAATTTCAGATCTTTCAACAAAATGCGACGCAAAGATGTTCTGGACACCATAAGTTCGGCTGAACGCTTTCGAGTCGATAGAACAGGATTACGTTGAACTGAAGCTCTAACTTGTTCAATTGTGTCTTTCGTTCTTGTTGACCTTGGGCGTCCCGCAGGCTTCTGTATGAAAGTCGAACCAGTAGCTTCGAACTTTCTGACCCACGATCGAATCACGCTTTCCTTCGGACACTGATTTAGGTCATGTAATCCAAACTCACGTCGAAATAAACGCCGAACAATAGCGCACGAATCGTGATTTTTATAATAATGTTTAACGCAGAAAGCACGTTGCGCTCCCGTGAAGTGATCCATCGCGACTAAATTTCCGAGAACCGAGCTACTTAACCCCACCACCCGCGCAGTCCCCTCTCTAAAGCTTCAAACGCAGGAGTGTTTTTAAAATCGTACTCCTTTCTGGCCCACCCCTTACTAAGGTATTCACTTTGTAAAAGAGCAATGAAAAAAAATGTTTTGTATGTTCCAAATACATGATTCATTGCAAATTTTTCGATTAAAGAATCCAAAATTTTACTTCAAGAAATATAAGACAAAAACATAATTTGCTGCCAAGATGTATTAAAGATAGATAAATGGAGTTACTCAGAATCATGTGTATCAGAAATCCATAATTTACGATTATATATTATAATGCGAAAGCCTGTCTCAGGCTTTTATGGCTAAACCGCTAAATCTATTTTGATAAAATTGAGATAGATAATGCCTGGTTAAGTCAAAAAAGTGTTATCACGGCTAAGTAGGCTGTAAAACCTACTTTAGTTCATTCCTTATTATCCGTTAAGCCGCCAATTTGGGTAAAAAAGTTGAAATGGGTATAAAATTTGTATAGGAAATGCTAAATCATTCAACCGATTTTGACGAGATTTGGTATTCAGATAGCTGGAAAGATTAAAAAGGCTAGGTTACCTTTTATCCTTAAACAAATAACGTGATTGAATTCCACGCGGACGAAAACCTATTCGTATACCTCTTTAAATTAAAATCTTTGCGTTATAGCATGGTGCGGGTGACAGCTTACAGTTTGGCGTGTCTAGATATGGAATAACGTTAAATTGATTTAAAAAAGGCGAATAATACACAAAACAATGCAAAAATTATCGATTAACTATCGATATAAAAATTAAAACCGAAACATATATTTCTTTATAAACTACAATGCATGTAAAATTAAGTTAAAGTTTAATAAAAATTATGACATAATAGTTACATAACAGCTGTTCCCGCGACTTCGCCTGCGTAGTATTTATTACTTTGTTACAATTGGTTTTCATGGGATTTTTTTGCGCGGATTCCTGATTCTGTTTCTAAAATAAATGTAGCCTCTGTTACTCCTCATGACATCAGCTATCTGCCAGTGCCAGCTATAAATCCGGAACAAACAGACGAACAGAGAAACATGTTAAAAATTATTTCTGTCTTTTTGTTATAAATACCGTATATGTATACTTTCATATAAATTTAATAAATGGCTGTTATTTTGATATTACAAACCGACACTTGAATGTATAGATTATACTATGTTTTAATGTGTAAATTAAAATCATCTTCTATTTTATGTTGATTGCATCATTTATATTGACATTTAAACAAATAAAATGCCTGCCAGCGTCTGTATTTTTCGCTATACTCGTATGTGTAATAATGTTGCCAGATCCAGTGAGCCAAATATCGGAACGGAAGGTAAAAATAATCGAGAATTTAGTATAAAGATGTAATAAAATCCATGCATCGGAAACACTGCATATGCGTATATGTGCGTTTTGTTTTCGTAAATCAGAATTTTTTGAACGATTAGTTTCAATTGCAATTCACATTTACGTGATTTTTATATATTCGATTTATTTTAAAAACGATTTTTGATAGTCTGTGGTTGATCGTTATGACATGGCATAGTTTAACGTGGCAGGTCACTATGGTAAGTGGGCGGTATCCTTCCATGAAGTACAACAACATCTGTATGACATTTTATCTAAAAAAATATGAAACTTCATAGGCGTGAAGTGTCATTCGCACCATGCTACAACGCAAAGACTATAGTATTTCTTTATTATTTTTCATCTTTGAAACGTGTTGGCCTGTTTATCTACGTTAGTTATCATCCACAAATTGCAATAGGTTGCTAGGAATACAAAACTAACTAAAACTAAATGTTGGTCTAATAAGAAGATACTTACTTCCTTTGATAAATAAAACAGTATTTGCGGAATTATAATATTTATTCAAAGTTATGGAACAGTAACATTTATTAAAAGCATACTAGGCCGTAACAATTCAACCCATCCGTAATCATTAATCGATTGAGGGTGTATGTCTCGACTATGTATTTTTTAAATCCGGATCTCCAGGAAAACTGCATAAATGGTTTATGGATATCAAAAATATCAAAAAAGTACCAATAGTAGTAAATAGTACAGTATTGGTAAGTAAACACAAGGCAAGCGCGAAATCGGATGAAAAAGTATACACAAATATATTTTTTTTTACTTTTAACACAAAATTGGTCTAACCAACACTTAATGGGTGATGAGGCGTGAGGCGAATATATAGTAATAATCCCTAACCAAAAGATCGAATCTAAAAACTTTAATGCAAATTTTAATGTTATCCTATAGAGGGAACAAATTTACAATTTGATGAAAAATTTTAAAATTAAGTTTATTCGTAGGTAATTAAAATAATGTTTTTCATTTTATCGAATTTGTTTAAAAGTACAAATTTAAAAGCGACAATATTTTCCTGCTTATCGGTATCGGTAAAATTTTGTTACATCTTATATCTAGTACTTGTAATATCTGTACCACATCAATATTTCTTTATTTTTGTTTCTAATATTCATAAAATATATATAATTTCGATTTACTGGTTGTAGGATATGCCTCCTTTATTTAAATTCTTTCGACACGTAATTATTGTACAATTTAGCATTATTTATGCATGCAGCTACGCTTGACACAAAAATTGGAAACGATTGTAACGTCAAGAGATGGGTTGACACTTACAGGTGTGAATTAACATGTTTGTGGCTACACGGTCTCCGCCCACTCCCCGTTATATTATGTATCTATTATAGTATTCTATGTGAGAAATAATGTAGGTGTCTATACCCCACAGCATTCTCTTAAATTAAAGTGATACTTGTTTTTAATTCACTTTACATACATAAATTTCACAAGGATAACATGCAGACCCAAAACAATTATTTGTTCGCCATTCAAATACTCGTTCCGTGCGGGATGATGGAACCCGCGGCCTTCAGGGCCTCAACTTATTGCTAAGCCACTGTGCTATGGATTATTCCGTGAAGGACATCTAGCATGGCAACTGTGGCATTAATCCCCCCTATGGAGCGATCTATGGGGGGCCTATGGTCATGAGCAGTAAGCAGTGATTTGGCAGGCTGTAATGAATGAATAAATCAGACTGTGTTGTCCCAATTTGTTGACTTTGTGATTTATTTACGTAAACTTGTTTCTCACTTGCAGGTATGCTCAAAGAAATATGATACTTGGAAAAAGTTATATTTACATGTGCGACTACACAATAAAAATATTATCTGCCCACTAGACGCGTGTGATAAAAAGTTTGCAACCAAGGGCGACTTGGAGAAGCATATACGCACTCATACAGGTGAAAAACCGTATCAATGTAACCTTTGTGACCGGAGTTTCGCACAAAGAGGGTCATTAAAGAGTCACAGAGAAACAGTACATACCGGTGCAGTAAGTCCCACAGGAGGATCATAACCTTTAATACATAGAGTGGAAGTACTATGCAGGTACTGGGTATGTAACTTATTTTACATATTCCGATTAGGGTCATCGTAGACCATAGAAGTGCCCTAGAACACCCTTGAAAAACCTTGGAAGTTTATATAAAATTAAAATTAAAAACAAAAATGAAAACAGCTATGTATAAATACACAAAAAATACACACAAGCGTGTTAATACAAATATTAAAATGTTGAGTAATGCGAGTGTGCAGGGCATATGCGCTTATTGAGATCTCAAGTTGATCTGCCTTGTATGAACAAGAAAAATCCATAGCGCTAAATTGAGACAAGAGAGCAAAAACACAAAGCATGGTCCTGAGCCACCTGCATTCATCGACTTACTACATCTTTCACCAGGTCGTCATTCCATAAGTGGAAAGCCATCCTACATTTTGCTTATCAGTACGAAGCAGACACTCAAAAACTATATGCTGATCTATTGGGCTATATCGAATACTCTGGTTCTTCTGCGGACATTCCTCTTTTTTAAGTCTTTATTTTTATCATGTGATCAGAAACAACCTAAAAATTTCGGCTTCTTTCATAAGTAAGATAAGTAATTTCGTTATAAATAGAATTAAGAGCTGAAGAACATTTTTTGTATTATATTACTATCATGTTAGTCATTGTATATATATTTTTATGACTTTTATCAGATATATCTGTTCTTGTGTTGTTATTTTATTATAGTTTTAAATTTAAGTATAAAGTTTTAAGGCATACTCTTGAATATGCAAACAAATCTTGTCAAACCTCTTTTCAATTGTATCCGAATATTTTTAAATTATTTATAATTAAATATACTCTATATTAAAAAGTCTTTTTGAAAGTAACCCATGTATTATGTACTCGCATAAATAAAAAATGGGATTGTAAATGGCGTTGCCTCTACTTTCCTCTTGTCGCTGTCTGTTGCCATAGCAGGCGATAACGACCACAAAAAATTAACTCACGCGTTGTGATAATATGCGTTTTTTGTGCTCCTATAATTAGGACGATTAGCAGAACAGTACTGTTTTGCATAATTTTATTTTAACTATTAATTTGTTTAATTTAATAATCTCAGAGATTAATAACTAAAACAAATGTTAGTTTGTTTAATTTTCAAATAAACTATAGTTATAATTTGTTATACTTATGTTTAAAATGTGTGCTCACTGTACAAGTTCTGTTTGGTCTGCCATTTCTAATTCCATTTTTTATGTGCACGGGTAGCATAGTCTCTCATCCATAATACATGTCGAGGAAACCTTATTTAAATTACCTTGCTTACAAATACAAATTATGTCTTGTTGTTTATCCTTAAATTATTACAAGTACTGCGTGATCGAGTTGACATATAACAGTTTCAGTCAGTGATATTATCAATAGCACAATTTGTTGAATTTGTCTATAGTGCGTTACGAATGCCACCATGTATTACTTTCCATTCTACTATCGATTTTATTGCATAAACGTTCTATCGAGTGCGGGTACGTTCCTCTCTGTTAAACACAAGTCGCGTGCAGAAGTTTCCCGACGATCGCCCGTCCTACTTCCGCCGACCGCATCCCGCGTTTCCGCTCAGTGGGGTTTGCTATTGGCACAATAAGAAACTCAAAAAATAAATGAAATCATTTACGTTTATAGTTCTCAATTCATTTCCTGTTTTTTATAGCATAAGGGTGACAAACGAGCACACGGTCCACCTGATGGTAAGTGACAGACATCTACATTTATCCTCGATTAAGGATTAAAATGCAGATGCGTTGTCACCCCTGTCTCCTTTCCAGTAAAAAAGGTCTTAAAAGGGAAATATAGCAGCATTTAGCTGCTGTTTCACGATGGTATTCTGTTCAATTCTGTTAGAGCGTTGTCCTTCCCCGGTCGAGCCGATTTATTCGTGCTACAACCATAATATAGTTGCAGCATGGCTCTACCACGTAATAAAATTTCTACAATCCCACTTTTCACATCCGTTGATGGTAAACTAGAAGTTTCTATCTGTTCTAACACTTCTGACGACGCGTGACGTCATTACGCACTCTTCCTATGTTTGTGGCATTATACCTATGAAGATCTTTACCTAGATTACAGCTCCAGACAATTTTTGAACGTTCGATGATGAAAATTGGCTACGAAGATAAATGATCGTCGTTTTTTTTATAGAAGAGGGAGCAAACGAGCATGCGGCTCATCTGACGTTAAGGCCCGCCGCTGATTGCAATTTTTTGTCACCGTGACTTTTTGTCACTTAGTCAATTGTCAATGATATCAATGAAAACTACGTTGAGTGCGCTCATTATGGTGACTTTATAATACGGTGACAAATAGTTGCAGCGGCAGGCAACACCGGAGTGACGTGACTGTCACTCGCCCTGTGCATTACTATGGGAGTCCGCTCACTGGTGACTTTTTGTCACTTGGCCGGCGCCGCGCGTTCGGAGTAGACGTATGATATTTGTAGCTGTGTTTTGTTTTTAAAGATGTCGTTTTCTTTGCAAGAGGAAGACATTGACAATGAATTATTAATAGAGGAGGTAGAGAAGAGGCCTGCATTATATGCAAAAAATTTAAAGGAATATTCCGATATTTTTTAAAAAGAAAGAAGATTATGGGATGAAATAGTATTACACTTGTTTCCAACAAGAAGTTTATCACAGGAACAAAAAGAAAATGCAGGTAATTGTATTAGCGTTTATTATACTTTACTACGTTACTTATTTATAATTATTAGATTAAATTAGGGCGATAGGCAATTACAGTTCTTGCATAGGTTAGGTATAGGTATCACTAGAGCGTTGCGGAATTATTATTTACCCACATTGACATAAGATTGAAATTTAAATGACTTATTGCGTATGCACTTGTGAATTGTGACTATTATTATCATAAGTTGTAACTTATGGCAATATGAAAAAATATACCTAAACATACATGTTTAGTTATATTTTTTCATATTGCCACGGTACGGATCCTTGTGGTGAAATAAAATAAGAAGTAAAATAATTTCTTATATTGACACAGGACATATTTCGATGCCACTGATGTGTAGACGTATTGCTGAGCGTACATTCGTACGCGGTATCCGTGAATTTAATTCCATCTCTAACGCGTACATAGTTGTGTAATATACAGCAAGCCATTACAATCTTATCACAAAATTCTATATTAACATCGATCTGTGTAGAATTCTCCATTTATTACACAGTATTCCAAATGTGCATTCCACCATTCGGCGTGCTCTTGTATGTCTATAATTAAAGATTCTTTTGGCAACTGTAAGTCCTCTCTTAGAAAACGGTCGTAAGATATTTTTCGACAGACCAAAGGCTTCATCACCTACAATGCAAAAAGGCATTATTTTTCCATTTTCATCATTAGGTAGAATTCGTCCAATCGGAATATTTAATAAATTCTCTTGATGCCTTCTGCCAGTATTCGAATTTTTAAAAATCGTCGAGTCGCTTGCGCTTCCTTGTGATCCGACATCAATGTAGATGAATTTATAATCTGCGTCTACCCATGCCATCAAAACCATAGAGAAATATTTTTTATAGTTAAAATAATCAGATCCACTGTGCTTTGGATTCGTTATTCTAACATGTTTACCATCGACGGCGCCGATAATATTAGGAAAGTTAGTACGCTCGTAAAACTGATCAGCAACTTTATACCAGTCTTCTTCATTTTTTTCTGCCATGTACAGAGGTTGCAATGCTTCCCATATAGATTGGCACGTTGAATTTACAATATTACGAAGTGTTGTGGCTCCAATTAGGTATTCAAAAGATAATGCATTGAAACTTGCACCAGTTGCTAAATACCTGTAAATAAAAGAATGTTATTTTTACAGTTAAAGTGATACAACGTCGTTGGAAAAATTTAAGAGCATGTTTTTCGAGGGAGCTTCGTTGTCAAAAAGACGTAAAATCAGGGCAAGCTGCACCTAAACGAAAACGATACGTGTACTTTGATAAGTTACTGTTTTTGGTACCTTCTATGGAGCCAGGGAGAGAAACCTCAAGTAACGTGACATCGCTTGACGAAGAAGCAATAAGTGAGAACGATTCTTCTACACCAGCAATAACACGACCAACAAAAGAAAAGAAGAAGAATAAAAGTTACGAAGAATCTTTATTAGAAATATTAAGAGATAAAACCAACCACCAAGACATTAAGACACCACCAGACTCAGACAATTATTTCGCGTTATCATTGGTTCCATTATTAAAGTCAATTCCACCAGATCAGAAAATTGATGCACAGATTGCGATTTTGAACACCCTAAAATATTATACATAATGTAACTATAATAATTATAATTCTACTGCTGCAACATACATTCTTCCTCAACCACAACAACCTCGTATAATTTCGCAACAAATAATATCCCCAGCCCAACCAGCACCAGCTCGTATACTTCCTCAGCCAATAATGTCTACAACCCAACCACAATCTCAACCACCACCACCACCACCTCGTGTACTTTCACAACAATATTTCAATCCCTCTGCACTCTCTACATCTACTCAATCTTTTTATGATAATATGTCTCCCCCCGCGGTCGAACGAAACTGTACGATCATATGTGTCAAATTACTCTGTAGATGATTGTGATATTGGAAATTTTTATGCCTCTGACTAATAAAGATTTTTTTGTGTAAATAAGTAATTGATATAGTTTTTGTTACTTACCTCAAAGTTACCGTTAACCTTTCTTCTGCTGGAATAGCTTTGCGAAATGTTGTATCTTGAAATGTAATCACAGGACCTACCAAAGCCAGCAACTCATCGAAAGAGTTTATAGATATACGAAGATAATTAAAAAACTTTGGTGGATACTGACTTAATTCAGAATGTATAGTGTAGAATTTTCCTTTAAATAATCTTTCCGTGTATATAGGATGCACCCAGTAGCGTTTTTTCCGTTTCATTTTTCTTCTACGTATTTCAAGAGCACAAATCACGGCAACCTCGTTGAAGTCCATTACAAAAATGAACGCGATCTGTTACCCAAGAACAGATTCAGTGAGCGCATCGTGGGTGACAGCAGGTGACAGTAATAATAAGTCACGGTGACAAAAAATTGCAATCAGCGGCGGGCCTAAGTGACTACCGCCGCCCATGATCAACTGCAACACCAGAGGAATTGCAGGTGCGTTGTCGGCCCTTTAGAAAGTAGTAAGCTCTTTTCTTGAAGGTCGTATCGGTCCGGAAAAATCGCCGATGGTAAACTATTCCACAGAGAGTACGTAGTAGGTAGTACGTGGAAGAAAACTCCCTGTGAAACGTAGTGGTGGACCGCAAAGCATCCAGATAGTGTGGATGGTATCGGGACGTTTGCCGCGTAGTGCGTTCACGAAATGTGGCAGCTGGGATTAATCCGAACAATTCCTCCGAGCACTGCCCGTGGTATATGCGAAATTCGTATATTGTTATATGCAAAAATTGTATTTATTTAAAAAGTCAACCATGTTTCTCATTAGTGTTAGATTTTATTATGATGTCATTTTTGCTCCCGCTCTATATTAGCGATTAAGGAAGGGTGTTACGACGAAACCGTTAGAGCTCCCGCAGACATACAATTGTAAGTTGGCCAACTATCGAACGACTAAATTGCGCACTTTTATAATTAAATCGAACAACTTTATTTGATTGGTTGCCAGCCGCAGACTTAATCGTTTTAGTCCGTGACAGTGTTGCTAGCGCGGTGCGTGTGCGTGATAATGCGGAAAAAAACCGCTCTAATTGCTTTAATAATAAAAAGAAGACGAAAAGAAAAGAGGACATTTTGGGTGCATCCCATATTAAGTGACAGATTAGAATATGGGAAACATCATACTTTGCACTCTAAACTTAGATGTTACCCAGATAAGTTTTTTTCATTCTATAGAATGAGTATTTCGTCTTTTGATGAGCTCGTGTATCTAATCGGGCCAGCGATAGTCAAACAGGACACAACTTTCCGACTTGCTATCTCCGTTGAAGAGAGGCTTGGATTAACTCTCCGGTAAGTACATGCTAGGTTAATAAAAATACAACTCATTTCTTATTTTGTTTATTGACGTTTTTTAGGACAGGTTAGTAAAAAAATCTGTTATATTTTTTATAAATCAATTAGTTCTGATTTAGACTCGGAGAAGTTTGACCAGTATGAAATAATACCATCATGATCATGTGGAGGGAGCGGTGTTTCTGGAGTCTGGAGATGGACTTGAAAGTTGCATATAAGATGGTATTGTATCCTGTGGCTTTGTGTTAAGAGTGCTGATGAGATTTTATCAGATGCTGTGATAAATTTGCTTGACGTGTGGAATGGACTGAACGACTACGGTTTGGCTTGATAACTTGATCAGAAATAATACGTATGGAAGTTGATGGAGTAATGTGCCTGGAAGCTCTTGAAAATTGTGAAGTGTACTAGGTTGAATGATATTAAATGATGTATTTGGCAGTAATAATCTTTTTTTCTTGATGTCTTGGAATGTTTGTAAAATTCTTATACGCACTTCTAATTTTTCGTCAGAAGTCAGCTCTTTCATAAAAGGAACTAAAGATAAGCAATAATTAGTATCGTCGACTTCATTAGACTGAAGTGCCTTTATTATTTGTTCATCTAAGTTGGGTTTTTTAATTTTCCGTTTCCGTTGCGGGTATGATTGTGGATCGTCTGATAAATTAGCGTCGTCCTGGTTTGATTCACTGTTTTCAATACTACCTTCAGTTGGTCGTGATTCCATACAAGGTATTAAAAACAACATGCGATCAAAGTAAACATATGGCCGCCGTTTTGAAGCTGCTTGTCCAGATTTTACCGACTTTTGAGCTTTCAGTTCTCTAGCGAAGCAAGTCCGCAAGTTATTCCATTTTCTTTGGATTTCATGACCTAAAACAAACAATACTTATTAAAATTTGTTATTCAAATTAATTTTATATCTTTACATAGTGTAAAAGAATGTCGCCCTCTTTAGACCATACGACAAATTTTGAAGAACAATAATTAAACAATTTTCTCCTATAAAGGTTGACAAATGAAAAAAAATTGTACCTTCCATACAAAGTGAATTCCACAAAAAAAATCCTAAAATCATAATGTACAATGCGACAAACTATATTTAATGATGAATGATTTTTTTTTGCAGGTATTTGGCAACGGGGGCATATTTTTCTCAACTTTCGTTAGATTATTTGATTGGTGAATCTACAATAAGAGGCATAGTGAAATCTACTTGTGAGCAAATACGGAATGTCCTTCATTCACAATATATGCCTGAAAAAACTGAAGAAGATTGGATTAGAACTGCTCATGAATTCTATGAACGAACAAATTTTCCAAATGTTATAGGAGCGATAGATGGGAAAAACATTCGAATCGTACAACCGCAAAAGTCTGGATCGTCCTTTTTTAATTACAAGAAGTTTTTTTCTTGTGTTTTGATGGCTTGGACTGATGCCGACTACAAGTTTGTCTATATTGATGTGGGTGCGTACGGAAGCAGTAGTGATTCAGAGATATTTAAGTCATCACAAATGGGCAAACTATTAATTGAAAACAGACTTAACCTTTTGAGCGCCAAAGTCGTCTATACGTGACCAGCACCCGCGTGCCCTGAGCGCCAACGACGTCTATAGATGACAAAAAACCCGGCCCACAAAAAATATGAAATATAGACATTGGAAAATTATTACTGGTATTTTAATTCTACACCCCTCAAAAAAAGAATAACCCAGCAACATGTGAGTATAAAAAACAAGTCTCCTAGAGCCACAAGTACTAAGAAACATTGAACTAAAAAAAATGGATTTTTATCTAAGCAAATACTATGTCCAGCACGCCAAAGTCGTCTATGTTAGACCGCTAGTGTTGTAATGCGTTAGCCATAAATTTATTGAAAACTATTCAAAATTAAGCTTAAACGTGTCATTTTTTTCTATTATTATTGATATTTAAATAAAACAAAAGGTTAGAAATATAAAACTATAATTAGCTACATGAATTAAAAAAAAATTAACAAATTATCTTCGCATAATAAATCTAATATCTCAACTCTGGCGCATCCTTAGCTCGACATCGAAAATCAGTTCACTGGGCGCCGTGGTCAAGTATAGACGACACACTGATGACGTCATAAGCGATTAGCGGGAAAATTAGTGCAGTGCAACATGAACGATTCCTCAGAACTCATTCGGATTTTGGAAAGCGTCGACGATGATGAATTTTCGGAAATTTAAAATTATCGTGAAACCAAAGTTTTTCGTTTTCGATTAACTCTACCTCAATGAGGTAGGAAATCACTTTATAGTCTTTTTACGGTTAATTTCTTTTTTTATAGCATAGGGTAATAAACGAGCACACAGTCCACCTGATGGTAAGTGGTTGCTGTGGCCCATAGACATTTACATCTATCCTCGATTACGAATCAAAATGCAGATGCACTCTCACCCGTGAGGATTTAGATGGAATGCCTCGTTTCCAGTAAAGAGGGTCTCCGGTTCTCTACACTTACCATACGAAATACAGCAGCATTAAGCTACTATTTGATGCCGATATTCCGTGAGAGCGTGGTTCTTCCCCGGTTGAGCCGACCCATTCGTGCTACAACTACTAACTCCCGTAATATAAATGCAGCATGGCTCTACCACGTTAGAAAATTTGGTTTGGCCAGCTAAACATTTATGTTTTATTATTCCATAAGATTTTTATTATTTTAAGACTAATATTACCTATAATTTATTAATTATTTTTAATTGTTGTTTTCTATATTAAGTACTGATTGAGTTAAAGACCAAGATTTTAATATTTTATGACTAGACCTAGTGCAAATAATTATTTACAGTTGTTGAATAATTATGTACCCTTTGTTGATTTCTGTAATAAGTACTGATTTTTTTATTCCATGACCAAGATTTTAATATTATAAGACTGATTTTTCTAGTGCGAATAATTACCTATATACAGTTGTTGATTAGTGAATAATTACGTACCTTTTCTATTTTAATAATATAAAATTACAAATAATAAATGTGTTTTCTTTACTTAAGGTATGAAGAGCAATTTTCATTTTGTGTTGTGCTATTTTCTTTCTCAATCTCAAAATCATTTAGCAACATCAGTATCATATGAAACCCCCTTTATCATAAGAGCGTAAGACTTTTCTTCTGTGATTCACTTGGCCTACGCCTTGCCATAAAATATTTTGAATAGATGTCTGTATATTTTGGTTATATCGATTTTGAAACACAACGTGCGACACGGCTACATCTCTAAGAAAGTTTCAAAAAGAAAGGTCAGCTACGCCGTTGTCGTCCAGTCGTGACAGTGACGTCATCACGACGGAGAGTAGTGTTGTGGTAACTACTATTTTATTGTTATTGTTTGTTTTTTATTTATGTACAAAGTACATATATAAAAAGAGTGGAAGACAGCACAAGATTAAATAAAACATACCCGATTATAAAGACTCATTTATTGTATAAAAAACCAACAAAAACAAGTTATTTTGTGTTATCGATATATCAACTCTTGGCAGCACTGTTTTTTTCGTAGGTATTTTTGTTTACTTTTCGCTTTGGCGTACAGGACACGGTAGTGAGTTTTTGGCGTGGCGCTCAAAAAGGTTAATATTCCCACTGGACAACACTTGTCTTATGAAGATAACGGACCTGTAATGCCATTTTACGTTATCGGTGATAAAGCATTTGGCCTTTCAAGTCATATATTACGTCCTTACTCAAAGAAAAATTTGAACTACGCAAAACGTATATTTAACTACAGACATACTCGAGCTCGTCGATTATTAGAATGCACGTTTGGCATTTTAGCAAATAAGTGGCGTATTTTTCATCGCCCCATAAATGTCCATATAAAGTTTGCTGTAAAGATTATAAAGGCAGCGTGTATTCTACACAACTACGTTCGCTCAAAAGATGGCATAACATTTAAGGATACATTGTACGAATTTCCTTTGGACGAATATCGTCACACAAAAAATAACAGGGGATGCAATATCACAAATGGTGTAAATGTTCGACAGTATCTGACATCTTATTTTCTTCAACCTCATGGATCTGTTCCCTTTCAATTTGATAAAGTATAAAATTATATACAAAGATTACAAATACAATTAAAAAAAACTTAGACCAACCTTGTTCTTTTCTTTCATTCACACTGAGTTCTGCCCAATTACTTATTAAAACTTTGCAGACTTCCTCCCATAATTTTTTCTTAATATTTACATCGGAGTATTGCTTCAAGTCTTTTGTATAACGCTGGCCTTTTTTTGCACTTCATCTATTAGCTCTTCTACTTTTTCGTTCGCAACAAGTGATCGGGTGTGAGATGTCGCACCCGTCGGCGAATGAAGTCCGAGCGTAGGGAAATCACGCGCGCGCGTCGGTTCGTCTTGCATCTTGCCGTGCGACTAACCAACAAAGTTGGATAGTCTGCGAGCTTGCATGGCGTACCGTGCTAACGAGCAGTTGGCCGATAGTTGGACAACTTTTTAATTGTGCGTAATCGGAAGGGAATCTTGATTCTGATACGATCGGTGTCCAATTATTTAGTTGGACAAGATGTGTGGGCTAGCATATGTCACTATACCTATTGATATGCTCTCCGATTTAGTTGGCCAACTTATAATTGAAATAATACTAATTTTTACGGAATTTATCGCGTATATTTAACTTTTTTACCCGACGTTTCGAGAGCTTTACAGCACCCATGGTCACGGGAAGGACTGAGATGTTCAACGTCCAGCTGTCATAGTTAACCGCGGTTACCATAGATTAAAATTTAACTTTTGTTCCGATCTACACAGTATGAACTTATGGTATCATGGAGTCTTGCAGTTGTATGCTTGGGTTGGGATTTAATTTTATTTATTATAGGATCCCAAGCAGATGGTAGCACCCAGCCATCTTCTCTATTGAAATTAGGATGTTTTTTGATTTCAATAGCCTCGCGAATCATCCTTGGAAGGAATCGGTGTTCTTTAGCGAGGATTTGTGGTCTATCAAATCTGATGTAGTGACGGGGGGCGATCCTGTACATGTTCACAGACTGCAGACTTCCCGGAGCGTCGATTCTTCACATCAGCTATATGTTCTTTGACGCGGGTTTTAATTGATCTTTTAGTTTGTCCTATGTAGGAGAGACCACATTCACAATCAAGCTTGTACACTCCTGCATCTTGCAGAGGGACGTTACACTTGACTGATGGTAAAAACTGACCAATCTTCTTCGGCGGCTTGAAGTATGTTTTGATGGAAGCGCGCTTCAAGACGTAGCCAACCTTGTCAGTGACTCCTCTAACATATGGCAGTACAGCAGGTACACGCTCGACTGTGGCCGGCTTCACTCGTTCTCTGTGACGTAGGCGCGGGACCCGAAGCTTGTTGTCATGCAAAACTTGCTTGACATGTTGGAGCTCGGCAGCCAGGTGTTTACTGTCACAGATCCCTCGTGCTCTCTGAAACAAAGATTTACCCACGGTAGCTAACTGTGAAAGATGGTGGTGAGAATCACCGTTTAAATATCTATCTGTATGGGTATTTTTTCTATACACAGTATGGCTCAAGGTGTTATCAGGATTCCGAATTACTAACACATCTAGAAAAGCTAAGGAATTGTTTGCCTCTAACTCCATTGTGAACTGAATTTTAGTATTTATAGAGTTAAGATGGTCTAAAAATGCAGTTACTTTATCTAAAGGTAGAATTGTGAAAGTGTCATCTACGTACCGCTTGTAGAATCTTGGATTTATGGGAGAAGTAAGCAGGGCTTTCTCCTCAAAGTCTTCCATGAATATGTCGGCGACAATGGGAGATACAGGTGAGCCCATCGCCACACCATCTACTTGCTTGTAGAACTCCTCCTTCCACAATAGGTAGCCAGATGTAAGGCAGTGTCTGAGTAATACTGCATATTCTACGGGCATGTTGTTTTCTTCCAGCCTTCTAGTTACAATTGAGATGCAGACTGCACATCAAAACTGACCATAGTTTCATTGTCTGCCAGACGTAGGTCTTTAATCTCGCTGACAAAATGGTAGGAATCCTTTATGTGTGCTCTTGTATGTCCCCTGAGCGGTGAGAGTATTTTCGCTAAGTGTTGAGCCAATCTGTAAGTTGGTGAATCGATTTGGCTCACTATGGGGCGTAATGGAGCATTGGGCTTGTGTATTTTTGGTAACCCATACAACTTTGGTGATTTGGCGCACGTAGGTATTATCCATTTTACGTCCAGATTTAATTTTTCGGAGTGTTTCTTTATGAGGTCACTAGTTGTTTTTAGTGTGCTGTTTGTTGGGTCGTTTTTAACCTTTTTTATAAGTACTTACATCCGACAAAAGTTCTTGTATTTTAGAATTATAATCTGACGTATCCATGACCACCGTGGCGTTTCCCTTATCTGCGCGGAGAATCGTAAGTTCTGGTTTATTGCGTAGGTTCTTTAACGCTATAAATTCGTCTCTGGGAAGATTCGGTGTAGGCACTGAACATCGACGTAACATAGACGAAATGTCTTGACGTATCGCCTCCAAATCTTCTTTCCGCATATTGTTTTTAAATAAACAGTCCTCGACACTACAGATAATTTCTTCGTACGGTAATCTGCTTGGAGTTATAGCGTAATTTAGTCCTTTGGATAACACCTTTATTGTAAAGCTCTCGAAACGTCGGGTAAAAAAGTTAAATATACGCGATAAATTCCGTAAAAATTAGTATTATTTCAATGTGTAGTGTTCGCGTAAATATAAGAAATCAACTTATAATTGTAAGTGTGCGGCCTCTCTTATCTTCGTCTTTCGTAATGGGTAGCATAAAGGAATGAATTAATTTCTTGTCTTGTGCAATGGGGTAGTATTTATGCTTACACCACCACTAACCCGTTAAATGGATTTAAAAAAATCGACGCACAGTAGTTAGTTCAGAACGCTACTGCGCGTCGTCTGAAAAGTTATTTTTTTTCCGTGCTCTGGAAAAGAAAGTCATCGCCCAGAAGCTTGTGTGTCTTGTTATATAATAAATAATGTAAAGTACGTCAGATGCTGTAGTATCTTGGCCCCAATCGTGAACGGATATGTTGCCAATACAGAACTAGTTAATAAAGCTTATAGCTGGTACAATGACGTAATTATAAAATAGACACAGTTGCTACTTTGGGAATATGAACATTGAAATTCTGCCTTTTCATGAAACACATAACATTTCACTAAAACGAGCACACATCCCACGTAATAGTAATACAGAATAGTAACTGGGTGTCAGTATTTTTTATATGTGGTAGAGCCTCGCTGCAGCTATATTATGGTTGTAGCACAAATGGGTCGACTCGACCGGAAGGATCGCGCTTATACTCTAAGTCAAAGAATAGAAAACTCAAACAGGACAAAGTAAGACAATTAGGCGATTGATTAAATTGTCTTGGTTCGTACACCGTACAATCTTGGGTAAAAAAGTCGCGTAATAGAGTAATTCCTTGTCAGGCCAGGCTTGTTCAAAATATGTCCAAGGTTAAAACGCCACGATCTGGAACTCTGCGAAAACTTCTAACCGCACGCAGCTTTTTATATTACATTCCCAAGATACTGTCTCACCATGCAAGAAAAGACTCGTCAATGTTATAATTAGAACCAATTTAGCGTTCTCTGAATGATTTATACAGACAATATAAAGAACACATTACTCAAAACGAAGAGCCTGTGCTCATGCTTAGTACTTTCACATCTTTTCTATGCGATAACCTCGAGAGATATTGTTTGCCCAAACAATTACCCATAATCATTTACTCAGAGGGATGCATGTATCAAAATAGGAATAATATCATGGCAAATGCTTAGTTTAACAAGAGTATTGAACACGAAGTATCTATCACACAGAAGTACTTAGAGCCTGGTCATGCTCAAATGGAGTGTGACTCAGTACATGCTGCAATTTAAAGAACGTTAAAAAATAGGGAGTTACATCTTCCCAGTGATTATATTACTGTGACGGAGGCACGAATAAACCCTGCTCCGTATATCGATTTCCACGTCGATTTACTTCTTTAATCCTTAATATAATCAATAATTATTTTGTTAAGGATTAAAGAAGTAAATCGACGTGGGGGTACAGCAGCATAAGACCGGGTCGAAGGCTGGAGACCCTCTTGTGGTTGATTTGCGAGTCATCCAGTATAAACCAGAAGACACTATTTTCAGCTACCACAGCTACCAGTAAGACCGAGAAAATTCAATACAGAATACAACTATGCATGCCGCACAATTTCCTATAGCTTCTTCTAAATTCAATGATCTCTAACAGTTAAAAGAAGTATTACCAAGAGATTGCCACTTATTTTATGATACTTCACCTCACGAGTGACCTTTAACAACTTTTTATTTTATTGTCATTTCATTGCATACCCCACTTTTGAATTACCTATGTTGTATTCGTTCCCTTCAAACTAATTAGATTAGATTGTTTTAGACGTCATGACAATTTTCTGTTTATAAGCTAAATAAAAGAATTTGTTTCAAAGTATTTAACATATTTGTTAAAGCCATTACCATTTAAGTATCTTAATTTATTACAAAAAATAAATAAATGTAACGTTAATACCTCGTAACTAACCGAATACCCACAACACTATCGGTTTATATAGTGAAATGTGTGTAACATTAATACCTCCTAACTAACCGAATACCCACAACACTATGGGTTTATATAATGAAATGTCATAGAAACAAAGAAATAATTATTCTTATTCATAATAAATAAATATATTCATCAATTTTAAATCAGTTAAAAAAATTAACGTTTTTTTCGATTTGTGTAAAATTCTAATTTCAGCAATTATAAGTTATTTGCACTTCACCGTCGATATGTCACAATTAAAAACATTGATAAAATTCTACACCGACGATGAGGACCATGTTAAAGATGCGAGAGGCCAGGTTTTATTAAAAATTAAAAAAAAAACGCTTTGTATGTGTGGTGACTATGGTAAACTTACTTACTAGAACAGAGATGATGAGGATTAGACCAAAAATCAAACCCTGAGTCAAAATATATATTATTTTATTTCGCATTGAATACGTACTTATTTATTTACATTACCTAGTTTAATTACAAATTGGTTTAAAAAAATAAATAGTTTCTATACTACAGGGTAAAATAAACAATTTACATTAAAAAATCTACTCATGTATTCTCAATTTCAATACCTCCAAAATCAAAATATCTATTTTCATAAACTATGCCAAAAATCTAACTGAGTTGACTATTGGAGACGCCAAAGAGACATGACCTCCAATAGACTATTCAATACTTTCATTTTTTTAATACAATATTCTGAAGTAGTCGTAAGACCCAGAATTAAGGTGATACCTCGAAAATTTGGTGGTTTTTCTATTTCACATATTTTTTAATGTTTTATATATTACAAACCAAAATTTTGGTATATGATTTTTGACTATATGACCTTGGATTGCATAAAAGGAAAACACGATATTATGAAACTTTCTCGATAGAAAAAAATTGCAAAGTAGGCTCTAATTAGTTACATTTTTCCATGACACCACAATCATTTTACGAATAAGTTCATGGAATTATTTTTAAGTCATAGTAAATAATCATATCTAAGTTCTCATAAATCAGTTTTTTTAATCCATAACGAAGTTTTGTTAAAATAAATAAAAATGTTGTTTGGCGCTTACTTAGTTTTTTCTATAGTATGGCTATCTCATAATTTGCGTACTATGAAGTCATTGCATCACTTTCATTTTGCCACTCCCGCAGTCGTCCGTTAGCTTCACCGACAAAGGAATAAGCCACGCCCCCAAAACTTCGATTCATTTTAAAGGTATCCTCTTAACAAGTTAACTGATCACCAAACGAAGAACACAAACCGATCCAACAAGAACGCAGTGGATTCGTTCTACCAGAAGAATTAACGAAATTTATATTGAAATGTGTATAATTGTTTAAAAATATAAAACAAATTACTGATTCATGAATTTATTGGGATGTTTAACCTGACCATAACGTAGTTTTGTTAAAAAAAAATGTTGATTGGCCTTTACTTAGTTTTTTTCCGAGCGTGTGCTCGGTATAGCTATCTCATAATTTGCGTATTATGAAGTCATTGCATCACTTTCATTTTGACACTACCTCAGTCGTCCGTAAGCTTCACCGACAAAGGAATAAGCCAAGCCCCCAAAACTACCATTCATTTTCAAGGTATCCTCTTAATATAAAATGTCAATTCAGTAACACCTTTCATAAAGGTCGCTTTACCTCCAATAATTATCGTATGTTATAAACCTATTTTAATGATAATTTTTAACAGATGTAACTGTTGAAATGTTGAATTGCTCGATTTCGAAATAAAACTATACCTCTTGATAAATTCATTGATAGCAACACCATTAAAGTTTTTAAACTGCCATGTAATAGGATATTTTGGGATGCAATGAATTTTAAGGTTGTAACGTTGAATAATTGTGGGTGAAAAAAGCTTGAAATAATTGTCTATTATTATTTAACGATCTATTGTATACTGTCGCGCTGCGCCCCAAACGACTCAACTACTCTTACAACGTAGAGAGAACTTCAGTTTAGGCTAATGCCAAGGAAAAACTGACGAAATTATTAAAAATTGAAAAAGTTACCCTCACAACTAGTATTTTGTCCTGTAACGTATTACATACATAAATTTATTTTACATACATAAATTTCATAAGGACAAACATCCAGACCCGAAGCAATTATTTGTATGCCATATAAATACTTATTCCGTCCAGGATTATTATTTCGTATTCACGTTACCTCCTCCTCCAAAACTGCTCTAATTTTTACTTTTATGAAAAATTTAAATTGGTACATTATATAAAGTATAAGGATTTGGTATCCATGTTTTTTATTTTATTTATTTGTTTATGTTTTTTAAATGTATTCGCTGGATGGCTAATAACGACAGTATAACTTTTTCAAACGACTTCAAAAAAAGGTTTTACCTCAGAACTTTGTTCTTGGTGAACCGATTTTGAAGATTTTATTTGAATTTGAATAAGACGGTTTCTGTAATTTTACAAAGTTCCTAGTTTTTAAAGCAATTATTTCATGAAAACCATAAGAACATGGCAGTGGTAGGTAGAGATTATATCGTAAAAAAATATTTACTCTAGTGTCATTATCCAGGCACAAAAATGCCTTCCGGATATTCTCTTAAGTGCTATACATACAACTTGAATATAGACTTAAAAAAAACTTAAATTTCTTAATATTATACCTACTTACACTACCCATACACAGACAAAAATTGCTTTGCATGTCCCTCAGTTCTAGGAAGAGTCAACAAATTAATTTAATGTCACAATTAAGAATCAATGGAAGGCGTAGAAGAGTAACAGGAATGTACATACAGCAACAACCAGACCTAGGATAAGGGAGTCGCGTCGTTTTCTGGAATTTATTCTGTAGATGAGACTGTTTAGCATTGGGAACCTGTAAAAAAAATAATTCTTATAATTTGGTGTAAGTTATAGATGTTTGATCTCACGAAGTTTTTTACGTGGTAGAGCCATGCTGCAGTTATATTAGTAGTATAGTTGTAGCACCAATGGGTCGGCTCGACCGGGGTAGGACCACGCTCTCACAGAATACCAGCGTCAAATAGTACCTTAACGCTGCTGTGATTCGTATGGTGAGTGTAGAGAACCGGAGACCCTTTTTGCTGGAAACGAGGCACTCCATCTTAGTCCTCACGGGTGACAACGCATCTGCATTTTGATTCGTAATCGAGGATAGATGTAGATGTCTATGGCCACAGCAACCACTTACCAGTGTGCTCGTTTGTCACCCCATACTATAAAAAAAACAATGGCGGGCAAGCCTTACTCTGCTGCTTAGCAAAGGACACAATAATTATTTTCTAACATCACTGCGAACAAGACAACTCACTGTACACAACAAAAACTATTACTGAGAACACTTTATATGTGATAGAGCCGCACTACAGCTAAAGGGTTTTCCAATAAGGGCGGGTAATAAGACGTTGAAATGAAATAAAACAAGCTACATGTGAGGTACTAACAAGATTCTTTTTATTGAAAGGCTCCCATGTGCCATTAAGTGTGGAATATGACATCGTTCAAATACCCGCCTCGGCTTCTTACAGTTGCACGGATCCGAGTGGTCCAATCTTCAATGACTCTTCCGCATATATCCAAATGAATTTGAGCGATGGCCTGTGTTATATTCACCTTTAGGACATCAGTCGATTATGGTTTATAGATCTGCAACTTGACGAAACCCCACAAGAAATAATCCGGGGTCGAATCGCATGACCTTGGTGGCCAATTCACATCGCCTCTGCAAGAGATACGCTTACCCTTAAAACTCTCATGGAGAATGTCAATCGTGACGTCTGTGTGGTGTCGTCCTGCTGAAGCCACATGTCGTATAAGTCCATACGGTTCAATTTGGGCCATAAGAAATTGATTATCATCGTTCTGTAGCGCTCGCCATTAACGGTGACAGCCTCACTAGCGTCGTTTTCGAATAAGTACGGACTAATGACGCCGCCGGCCTAAAATCCACACCAAACGTTAACATTTTGAGGATGCATTATAGGCTGGTGAATCTCGCGTGGGTTTGGCCATTCATCCAAAAATACGCCTGGTCGTTAAAGATGATTTTTGGGCCAAAATTGGGATCCTCTTCCAAACGATTCGAAGCCCAGTCAGCGAACAAACGCCGTTGTCTATGGTCATGAACTTCGAGGTCCTGGGTCAATTGGATCTTGTACGGGTGTAGGCCTAAGTCCCGACGCAAAATTTTCCAAGTTGCAGTCTGCGAAAGGCCGAGTTCTTGTGCACGGCGAGGAATCGACTGCCTCGGGTTCTGCTGTTCACGAACCGCGACGATGTTCTGGTTGGTCGTTTCAAATTTGGCTAACAAACGTTGAACAGACGACTGTGAAGGGCCATCACGTTAACCGTAAAATGGGCGCAATGCGCGCAACTTTTGCGCTAACGAACACTCATTCTAATAATAAAATTTTATCATTTGAACATGCTGTTCAATAGTGTAACTTGCCATGGTGTAACTGAATAATAAACAAAAGTTTATCAATATGTCACCAAAACAAAATGGAAGCCACGGGTCGCCAAAATCTACCCGCACCAATTGAAAAACCCTTTACATTGTGGTTTTATCACAAATGGGTCAGCTAGAACGGGAAAGGACCGCGCTCTCACAGGATACTAGCGTATGACAGCACTTTCATACTGCTGTCTCGAAAGGTGTATTATGTGCTTTTTACTGTAAACGAGCATTCCATCTTAGTCCTCAAGGTCAAGGGTGACAACGTATCTTGTCTTTATTATAATCGAGGCTTGATGTAGATGTCTATGGGTCACAGCATCCACTTACCATCAGGTGGACTGTAATGCTTGTTGGTCAACCGTATTCCATAAAAATGTCAAATTACTAAACCGCTATTATGAGATAAAATACTATATTCAAATAAAATTCACAACTCAATAAAGAGTGCTATATTATGTAGGTGGGCAAATTATCATTTTTGCGATTGGAACATTTGCATCTCGATCACTGAAATGTCCCGAAACACTGATATGTTTCCTTTGGCATATTTGGATCAACAACTCAAAAAATAATGTGTGAATATATACGACAATAATGAGACCACATAAAAATATTATTATTAGGAAACAAAATAATATTTTACCGAATTTCTAGCAAATATTACTTACATCAGAAACAGAAACTTTTGGAACGAAGTTCCTTATCGCGCGTTGCGAAAGGGGGCTGGACGGAAAAAATTAAGACCAAAAGTTGTAACGACAATTTTGCTATAGTTGTAAGCCGTGCGGATTGCGCGTGTTTCTCTCTCTCTCTCTCTCTCTCTCTCTCTTTCTCTCTCATAGAAAGCAAGCCAGTTATTTTCGTTTCGTCTTTCTATTTCTCGCATTGAACAGTGTGGTGTCGCGAGGATTATTTTTGTTGAGTGAATACAGGTTTTTTGTACATAATAAATAATTAAAAATAATAACAATAATGAATCCTGACAGTGTTTCTGCACACGTTCCGGATATAGCTGATGGAGTTAGGTATGTAGAGATTTTATACAGACAATAATAAATGCTTACTTATTTTTAGCAAATACGCATTATAACCTCTCTTTACTATAGTGCTAACCAAGTCATACGCGTTATAACTTAAACACGTACGCGTAATAAATTTAAAAGCAAATTATATTTTAATATTACAATATCAATGCGTATGTATTTAGCAAGCCGTGCGTGTTGTAACCTATACGCTGTTGTGTTTACGAAGTCGAGAGTATATATATATATATATATATATATATATATATATAAAAAAAAAAAAAAAAAATATAATATAAGGAACTTCGTTTCTTAACTTCTCTCAAGTTTTTTTAATTCAATATAGATTGTAAACAATACTTATTGAAAGTCACTTTTTTCATTTACCACTGGTTCGCAAAAAACACCTCTGTCCTGGGAAGAACCAGCGAGAAACCCAGCGGGACTATTTTTTTTTTTTCAAATAATAGCTTACTTGAATCTGAATGACAGGGTGAGAAATTGTGAAGAGTCAAAATGTGTCAAAAAAGGCACGTATGGCAATTCACAGTGCTGTGTTGGTCCCTACTTTAACGTATGGTAGTGAAAGTTGGGTGTGGCAGAAGAAGCATGAGAGTAGAATCAACGCAATAGAAATGCGGTCCTTAAGGAGTATGTTAGGGCTGAATCTGAACGACAGGGTAAGAAATTGTGTAATAAGAGAAGAGTGTGGTTTGCAAGATGATGTTGTGACCAGGATTAAGAAAGGAATGCTTCGGTGGTTTGGTCATGTGGAAAGAATGAATGAGGAAAGAGTGACAAAGAAAATTTATGTTGCAGAAGTGAATGGCAGAGTCGGAAAGGGACGTCCTAGGCGAAAAAATATCGACCAAATTGGCGTTTTATTGAAAACGGGCCAAATTAGGAGTACCCTTAACCGACGAGCATGTATGCGTAAGTATATGGATGTGAAGGAGGAGAGAGAGGTTTGTAAGGATCGTGCCATATGGAAGTCTGTAGTCTCTGCCTATCCCTCTGGGTGACAGGCGTGAGTGTTTATGTATATGTATTTATGTATGTAATAGCTTGTAAGCTATGTACATGTAAATGTAACATGTACGTTACAATTAACAACACAAAACAAATTAGAAATAGCTTGGTAGCATCACCTCATTTCCAGGGGTTATTATCATCCCTAAATTCCTTAATATTATAATAACCCTTTTTATACAAACTAGTTTAATATAGTTTTTGAACTTTGTGTATGTCAAATTTTGTATATTTTCCGGGATTTTGTTGTAAATGCGTATACATCGCCCCGAGAATGAATTACTGACTCTGTGGAGTCGAGAGATCAATATACTAGATCATAAAATATGCGACAAGAACAATCAGATGAAAAATCATGTCGTCTCGTGCGACGACACTCAAGGAGTGATACGGGGTAAGTAGTCGATATTCTTACACCGCCACTACACTGTTATATTAACTTTTATGTTTTTTTTTGCCATATACCTGTTAGCAATGTCGTTAAACCTAGTCTGCATCCGTTTGAATGTTTGACGCTGTGAGGAGAGATGCTCTCGCGCCTCCATCGCAATGTTTATCTGCTCGTCCACTAGGATATGTGAGCTGAAACAAAACAATTTTAAATTAAACTTAAAAAAAAACTTTAGTAAAAATTTTAAACTGACTTCGAATACAAAAGCAAAGGAAAATTGTGAGACTATATGTATATTTGTATATCTTTACGAGTTTATATACATCTGATAATATAATATGTACATATGTATAATATAAATACTTATTACTAGCTTGCCAGGCAGACGTTGTTCTGCCCTTTTCGACGACCCTTTGTCATGTCCTATTAAAAATCCTTAAATTCGCAAAAAAAAGATTGTGGGTCACTCGTGGGCAAAAAAACTATCCTATCTCTCAAGTTGGACCACACTGCACACGGTGTGCAAATTTGATTAAAATAGGTTAAGTAGTTTAGGAGTCCATCGCGGAAAAACAACGTGACAAGTAATTTATATATATTAAGATTTTAGTTATATGCATACTTTTTACTAAGCTTACTTTATATTTTCTTTCTCGAATGATTCGGCTCGACCAGAGAAGGACCACGCTCTCACAGAACACCAGCGTAAAATAGCAGCTAAAGGCTGTTGTGTTTCGTATAATGAGTGTAGAGAACCGGAGACCCTTTTTTACTGGAAACGAGGGATTTCATCTTAGTCCTCAGGGGTGACGACAAATCCGCATTTTGATTCTTAGTCGAGGATAAAACAAATGTAGATGTCTATGGCTCACAGCTTCCACTTACTATGAGGTAGACGGTGTGCTCGTTTGTCACTCTTATTTTATAAAAAAAAATTGTAATGTGCCAATTTTATGTATTTTTGTTGTGTATTTGAGTTGTTGTACAAAGGAAGAAAACTCCTAGTAAAATGCACAGTGGTGGACCGCCAAGTGTCCAGGTGGTGAGGATGGTATCGTTTATTTCGACGCGATGTGCGTTCGTGAATTTTGGCTGCTGGAATGCAAAGGGATGCAAAATCCCTACGCAGCACCAGTGAATTAAGTCGATCAGAAAGAACTGAAGTCAAGTGGAAGAAGTTTGCACTGGTGTGCCCCGGCCAGAAATGAGAACAGTATTACTTATGAGCCCGAACCTGCGCTTTGTAAAATTGCAAGCGATGGCATTAAATACTTTCTCACTCTGCTGAGCACGCCAAGCTTTACTTCAATATGTCTACGCCGATAATTCCAAGGATAGCTGAGGCAGCATTGGGAGTACCTTGAAACTGAGGAGATACGACAAAGGGGTTTTTAAGCGGTAAACGTGCAAACTTGTGTCTATTGAGGATTGAACTGGAATAGATTTAGTCGCCCCCAATCCGAGACTTTGTTCAGCAAAGACTCGACTTCAGACACAAGTTTGTCCTGGTACTCGGCGACGTTTCCCGAGAAATATTGGCACGGCCGGTTTATAACCTCTTGAGACCTGAACTAGAGGGGACTTACGTACATGTATAAGTAACTTTTTGCGTTTTTTGTACTTACTGGGGTCCAAATAAAAACCAATTTTTTTTTTAAATTTTTTATTATTATTAATATTTAAAAAAGTTTTTCCACATATGTCGACCTTGGGTCTTAATTCGGTCCAAAGTTCTTATTAGAATGGTAACTCTCGAAACAGTTATTTATAATATACATAAGAAAACTTGACAATTTACACACATTGTGGCATTTGGATGGACATGTCGGATGGCGACATTTAGATGCGTTCTTGAAGTCAATGAATCGTGGCAGGTGGCCCACATTATCCAGCCTTGTTTCAAGTAGCGGATGGAGTCCAACAGCTCGATTTTTTGCGTGAGGCTCATCACAGCTCACGTCTGTGAATTTTGGATTGGAAACTGCTGAGGAGCCAGGGCTGGTTTGAGATCTAGAGCCAGGACGCATAAAATTTGGGTCCACTCTACTACCGTCATAATTCATCACGGCTTTAGCCTAATTCAAGCGGTATTAAAGCAACCCCAGCTTATGCTTGCTTTCCACATTTATAACTATGCAATAACGCATGTACATCAACCAGCATTTGACAACCTCCATTTTTTTTGTGCACATTGAGCTCCGATAATATGCAATGAGCCGATCAGACACGTATATTCCGCCCCTGCAAGTGTTGTAGGTTTTTACAACAGCTGGCTAAGTCACATCTATCTTTACTTTTCTAACCTTACACCACCACTGGCAGGTAGTTGCTGGTTAACCTCCTGTACATGTTGGTAGCATTGTTACCTCTTTTGTGTCTTTCCATTTTGCGATACATATATTTTCATAATTTCGACTTTTTTCATCTTAGGCCCCTCTCTGCAACTCCTTGTCTGTCTTTAATGTCGTAGCAATACAGGGCCAATTCTATTTGCCATAACAGTTCCAGTTAGAAATATTTGATAAATATTTGCAATAAGATGCTCGGCCAGTTTTAAATTAGTAAAAAACCTATCGGTGTAAAGAACACAACGACTTTCAGTGGTGCTGCAAACATATATTTCGAAATCTAACAATAGTCCATCTCGGGCAGCTGGTACAAATTTTTTAAGTCCCAAGTGGATCAGGTTTAGTTGGAACGTACTGACCGTACTGACATCGCCCTGCAAATGGTTCAAATCATTTGCTCGTCTATTAACATGTGTTTAGAATGAGGTAAACTGTAGCGTTTCTTTAAAATTGAAATATTTATCGACCTTATTTTCCATAGTTGGTTGTTAGTATATGGACAGGTCTACGAAGTGGAGATAATTGCGAAGTTTAAAAAATCGGTATCGAGGCATGGTATCCCTGATAATAGGCAGACATAAATCTCTAGTCCAATAGAGCTTTCCTTGGGGGTATTTAAGGGTACCCATCAATAATTGTATATCCACAAAATGATTAATGTCGATGGAGTATGTTTTCAATGATTTTAAATTACGTTTTTGAGTAAAATAAATGTTACTTTTTCAGCCACAATTTCCCAGAATTCTGTTCCCAAGTACTCAAAAAACAATATATAATGTTCATCTCCGAAATACCCTGCGCTACGAGCTCATCATCGGCAAAGTCTGGTCCACAGCAACGCATTTCTTATGTACGCCAAAACCACCGTGCTGACCTCCCAGGTTCCGCTTCTGCCAAATATCGGATTGTTCATTTTCTTCTTCCTCTTCTTCTGATTCGTCGGACTGATGAAGAGCCTGGAGGCAAATACTCATCGTCATCTTCATCGCCGGAGAAGTCAGTCACTATTATTGAGAATATCCCAAATATCCCGGTCATTCACGATAAAATTGAAAAATAGTAATATGCTGTTAAAACCAACGTTAATTCCTGAGGTCCACATACATGGCACAGCCAAAAAATTTGAATTTTGATACAAAAATAAAGGAACAGAAACAAAAAGTCATCCTATCACACATAATCTCAGTTATTCATCTATATAAAACAACAATACTTTCGACTTGAAGCAAAAGAAAATAATTTTATATTGATTTTCAAAGTTCGAACGTGATAGACCCACAGAAAAATTTCAAACGAACAATTACTTAATTTATAACTTAATTTTACGTGTAAAACTATTGTTTAAAAGCCATCTATCGGTTTTGATAGAAGCTCTATATCTTTTATAGACTTTCATTAGTATTGCCAGTTGTCACAAGATGTCGCTACCTGTTGCAATTCTAAAAATGTTAGGGTCCTCGTTTGAGTACCTACAGACTGAAGAGGATAAGGCATCACCAGTGCTGTCGTCTGCACAGCAATGAATGTTACCAGTTTGCAACATATAATTGATATGCAGAAGAAACAGCTTTGTTAATAGCACGCAGCCTTGTGGAACACCAGCGTTAATAGGCTTGTAATCAGAGCATGCATCGTCTACACCGGTAAACAATTTTTGTTATTTCTTAGATAAGTGAGTTCATAATCATGTAACTAAAGACTACAAATTTTATCCAGTTGAAGTGTTAAGTGTGAACATTGTTAATTTAAATTTTGTATGGAACTAACGTTGAAGTGTTTAATAACAAATGAAATATCAAAATGTGTGATAAAGTGAACGAAAACTGTTTTTTATCAAAAAACTAAGTGGATAATATAAGAATTTGCAGGAAAGTAACCATTAATTGAGCTTATAATTTCAAAAATATAAAAGACCGATACATAGTTCATTCAAAAAATATTTAATTATTATTTCTTTAGTGGACAAAACGAACAATCACTGTAACTAAAGAACGATTATTCTTTTATACTAACTCAAATTTCAAGATACTTGGGTGTTTATTTTAGTATTATGATAATTATTGAAAATAAAAAACAAAAAAATTAAAAAATAGTTCCATCTTATGGCAAATGTTAAAACTACGCTTATGTTTATTCGATTATCACAAACGTTATCAGACGTTTGGCCAACAGAGGACGCTTATTTATAGAGTGGCATTAAAGTAATATGTACAAATTATATTAATCTTGAAAGATAAAACCAGAAATACGCAAAATGAATGTATGTTTTAAATGTAAAATTGTTATATCTGACAAACAATACTTAACCTGTTCTAGCTGTAAGGAGCATTTCCATTTGGATTGTACAAATGTTTCAAATAAAAGATTTTATTTAATGACGGTTGATACTAAAAATAAGTGGAAATGTAAAGAATGTTATGAAGAAAGAACAACACGTACACCATCAAATAACATAACAATCAGAAATAAATATCGGATTAATATACCTGTGAAGAATTCTTTCGACTCTCTGTCATCGGACGAGCAAGAGCCCGAGTATTCGTCACTACTAGAAACGTGTGAATTAAATAGAAGTTGCCCAGAACTAGGTTCTGTTAACCCGGAAAAGATAGAAGAATTAGAGAAGAAAATAGGTTATCTTACAGAGAAATTAGAAATAGCAGAAAATGAAATTGAGAATATTTTATCAGAAAATTTTGCCCTAAAAAAATAAAATTTCGGAATATGAATTAAAAATTAATAAACTAAACCAATTATGCAAGCCCACTCCTCACCTAAAAAATTTAATTCCAAAGAGCTCCACATGTAAAAAAAAGAAGAATATAAATAAAAGTAAATTGGAT